ATGTGACCACTCTGAAATTTTACGACCAAACTTTTCTTTTTGTACACGTTTTCCTCTTTCCATCGATATATAATTTAGGTGTGTGTTCTTCCGGAACATTAAAGTTTTAAAAAATTAACTCTGGTTGCAGTACTAAATGGGTGTTTGTCCGTCACGCCCTAATACACGGCTGTCATTATGTTCTTCTTGGTCAATTTTTTTTTCACATCGAATCCAAGCCAACAACAAAATATGAGAAATTATTGGCCAGCTTGTGTATCGAACGTCACTGATGTGAATGAGTGTTTGTCCGTCACGCCCTAATACACGGCTGTCATTCGGTATATCGAGAAAAATGATCGTGAAAGAATACCTAACGGTGGTATTGCGATTGGATCGTGAAAACTCTGGTATAGGATCGTGAAGGAAATCTTATCAAGACATATGCAAGGTCAATTACCTATCTAATTTAATTAATCATACGGACAAATTTACTACAAAATAAAACTGTCTGTCAAAATGATTCAACATTATGACTAGTATCTGAGAAAATTCAAAGTTTAAAAGTACACCGTTTTTACAAATCTACAAAAGGCAGATTATTCCTCGACATTTCAATGACATTAAATATGTAAACAAACAAGATGTTTTTTCATAATTCGAATGACTAAACAACATTTCTATGTAAAATGTCATTCCATTTGAATGATTCGAATGGTTCTTTAAGTTACTTTGTGTTAGCATAATCAGAAATTTTGCAAAAAAAAAAAAAAAAAATGAAAGATAGCGTACCGTTTTTTGGAGACCGTTTGAAAGGATCGTGAAAAATCTGATGCTACGAAAACGTTTAAATCATTATTTCATTACAGTTTGATTTATATTTTTTGATTTGTGTAGAAAATACTGGATTTGCCTGACTCATTCCGGTTCTCTTTTGTTGGTGAATAGGGCTATAATTGTTCAATGCCATTGGATCTGTTTATCTTATAATACCACACCGACTTGGTGCCTTATAGCAACATCAGTCTATTTATCCGTTCTTCATAAGTTTTGATTTCTTATACAAATTTCAGATTGAGAATAGAACTTAATGACTAAATTACAATTCAAGCTGGGTATAATGCACAATCGAGGTACGTTGATTGGTAATTTCCCAACTAAGTTGGGTACAATGATGTATAGCTATTGTGAACAGACTGATCAAATAATCAAGTAAAAATAACGTTATCTTAGTACCTTTTTAGTTTATGTCAGCGCAGCCACGAAATAAACAATAAATTAGCCAGTAATGTCATACAATGTACACACGAACGACACACATACATATAACTGAAAGTAACAACCCTTACAAAAAAAATTTAAAAAAATGGGTATACAAGAAATATATTTCCAGGGCGGATGCATTAAGCATTATGGAAACATATATTATACTATTACTTTTACTTTTACGCTCCTGAAGGTCATTTTATTTTGTTATTATACGTATCTAGACACGTTATTAATTATTTTAATAACTTTTAATGAAAAGTGTTGAAATAAAAAAAAATGAAAGCATTAATGTTCTTATTATAATAATTACACGCTTCAACTAGTTGCAAGTATATATTTTGGTAAAACAAATATTGTTTATCTGATTATTAAGTCCGGTCCGGCGCCAGACGTTTGCGCTTTTTGGTAGGACAATTGCGATTTTAATATGAACATTTGCACTTTAATTTTTTAATACAGCTAAAAACATCAACCTTTCCCATCATGCTTATGTCAGATGAAAACGACAACCCTCAAAGAGGGTGAATGAGAGTAAATTCCTCCAAGAGGGTGGATTGGAGTAAATTCCTTATAACAACCATGACTCTTTCTCTAAAAGTCAACAGGTACAGCAGGTGGTTTTAAAATAAAATTCAGTTCGGTCTTCACAAATTGAAACAAGCTTAGCTACCTCTTTACACGCAAAGCCAAATACAATGAAAGTTCCAACTATGTACTGGCTTCCGAAACTGCAAAAAACACCTTACAAATATAGATTTATTTCGTCTTCAAGCCATGTTCAACTACTAAACTGTCTATTCTACTTACTAGTACACTTGGTACAAATAAAAAACCTGATAATAAATTGTTCAAATAAGGCCATTGAAAACAGTGGAATAGTTACTTTTGGAGTTTCAAAAATTCGTTGGAAGTACTTGATAAATTGCATGCTTATATTGGTGATTTCGAATCTGTTCAAAGTTCTGATTTGTCTACCCTATATACCACTTTGCCTCATAATCTTATTAAGAAAAAAATCACACAGTCACATAATTGAAGTGGCATTTAAAAAGTTAGAATGCGAATATATATGTTCAAACTCTTTTAGGTCATTCTTAAGTAACAACAAACAGAAGAACTGTGTCAATTGGACCTGCTTTGATACTATAACTGCCCTTGAATTTTTACTCGATAACATTTTTGTTTGCTATGGAGATTCCGTTTATCGTCAAGTTATCGGAATTCCAATGGGGGCTTACTGTGCACCACTCATTATGGACCTGTTTCTGTATTGTTATGAATTACAATTTATGACTAAAATCAGCAAAGACCCATCGAAACAACATCTGATACAAAAATTTAATAACACTTTCAGATATTTGGATGATATATTGGCTCTCAATAATGACGACTTCCGTATGTACACTAAAGAGATTCATCCTGCTGAACTGACTTTGAATAACTATAATACTAACAATGAACACTGCCCTTTCCTGGATCTTGATATCTATATCTTTAACGGGAAGCTTCAGTGGCCGATCCAGAAATTTTCATAAGAGGGGCCCACTGACTGCTTAAGAGGGGGGCCCGCTCCAGTCATGCTTCAGTGATTCCCTATATAATCAACCAAATTTTTTCCACAAAAGGGGGGACCCGGGCCCCCTGAAAAACCCTCTAAATCCGCCTCTGAGCTTAATACCAAAATTTATGATAAAAGAGATGATTTTCTATTTCCTATTGTTAATAATCCATTTTTAGATGGTGACGTTCCCTTGGCCATCTTATGGTGTTTATATATCTGAACTTGTTCGATTCGCTCGTGTATGTAACAATGTATTTGATTTTAACGAAAGATATCTCTGTATTACTGAAAAATTATTACACCAGGGTTTTCGATATCACAAACTAGTCAAAACATTTACTAAATTTTATCATCGGTACAAGGACATCATTCGTAAATATAAATCAACATGCAGACATCTTATACGTTCAGGTATTTCACATTCAATCTTTTGTGGTAATATTCTATACAAAGCACAAAAATGTCGTTATTCACCTCAATAGATAACCAAACCTTTAAACAGACTTATTCAGAAGGGATATAGATCCGATACTTTTGTCAGGTCATTAAAGATGGCATATTTTGGTATAAATACTGATTCACTCATAGGGTCTTTGCATCGGAAAAAAACACATTTATTCTAAAATCATTTGTTGGCATGATACGGGTTATGTTCTCATATATTTTATGATTGTATGATACTAAACCCCTAACGGGAGGGATTGTACTTGATTTTCATATGATGAAGACATAATCTTTCAATCAGTTTAATTGAGGTCTGGAGCTGGCATGTCAGTAACTCTAGTAGTCCTTTGTTAATTTATGTTATCATTGTCATTTTGCTTAGTTTCTTTTGTTACCTATTCTGACATCGGACTCGGACTTCTTTTATACTGAGTTTTACTGTGCGTATTGCCGCCTCCGGGTGCGGAATTTGCTGGCTGTATTGAAGACCCATTGGTGGCCTTGGGCTTTTTTCTGCTCTTTGGTCGGGTTGTTGTCTCTTTGACACATTCCCCATTTTCATTCTCAATTTTAGTAGATAAACTGTGATGGTACAGTGCAACAGAATGGACACAAGAGGAATATAGTTTCCAATTTTAAATCCAGTAATTAGAAAACTTATTGAAGAATTTCGGTCAAAATTTAAATGTTTCATCCATAAAAGTTTCTTTTTCTCTATCATTTACCCAGAAACGTACACTATATTTTTTATAATATGTCTGGTTTACCAGAGAAAAAAAAATTGTCGTTTGTTCGGAAGAACTTTCAAAGAAAATGTGAATATCTTTCCATGACTTTGAAAATTTTCTAAAGACTACAGGTAAACTAGTATAGGTAAAAAGCGCAAATGTCTTGTCAATTTTGTACATGTGTATGCAAGTTTAAAGCGCAAATGTCCATAGTGTTTGAAGCGCAAATGTCCTTAAGTGTAAATAGGTGAAAAGGCGCAAACGTCCTTCGTCCGTCTGGTCACGCCTTGTCTTTCACGATCAAGATAATGCGTTGCCCGTTCTTTCATGATCAATTTTGTAAAAAAACAACAAAATTCTATGTTTCCAAAACAAAATTTACGGTTTCAAGGAAAAAAAACTCTTTTATTTTACTGTACTTTCTAAAACACAAAAGATTCAGTTTCAAATATATCATTAAATATTGGAATGTGACCATTATAGGTACAAATCTTGCGTTTTTTTTCTAATGAATCCCATAGACTGTTGCGCCTTTTGTGTTTTCTCACAAAGTACTGCATATTTTCTTTATCTTTTTGCACAGTATTATTGAGAAAGTTTAATCACTTTGACAGACATAATTTTTTTTTCGGATTTGATCCGCGTTTTGAAAATACAGCAGATTTTTTACAGATTTTGAAGTAGAATTACAATTAATTACATTCACGATCCGATACCAGATCTTTCACGATCCGATCGCAATGCTTGACCACCGTTAGGTATTTTTTTCACAATCATTTTTCTCGATATACCGAATGACACCCGTGTAATAAAGTAACGGCATATTCGAGGAGGGGGTGAATATTCTGACATTGTAAAAAGACCCTTTGATAATCGGGGGTTGGGGAGGGGGTATTTGGAAATGAATATTCTGACCTTTTGATTACCGGAAAATGATATGGTGTGCACAAAGCCGAGAGAAATAAATAAGATATACTAGCAACTGGTAAAAAATGAATATTCCATCAGCAAAAAAGACATTATAAAAATCGTAAAACTTGTTTAATTCTGATTTTTATTATAATACAGTAAAAAAAAAGCTTAGAATCATAAACATACATTTGTGATACATTTTAGTTAGTATGTCACCATTTACTAACGAGACATAATTATGACAAAAAATATTTTGTAATGCAAAGATTCCCCTTAAAATAGATATACATTATTTTTTTCTAATTAAGAACGAGAGAAAAAAAACACCCTCAAAACACAGAGATTTTTTTTTTCTAAATAGAACATTGCACAGGCCTCTGCCATTGTGTTTTTCCAAGCATCCGAGGCACAATTTGCGTCTTCCGTTAAAATGTATTTACACGTCAGTTGTAAACGGCTGCTAATATTACCGCAATGATAAAGAACACGACAGGGAAAGCAATGAGTACAAAACGTTTAATTTTCTCTTCTTCAGTCAGTGGCAGAACTTCTCCCTGGCCATAATAGTTTGATTTTTCTTCTAACTCTACATCCTTGGCATCAACATTGTCTTTATGATCCACATTTCCCTGTGAAATTAGAATGTATCAAAGAATCATCATATATGTTGAATACATAGAAATCTTTACTTTGTCAACTACTGCTAATAAGCTGATTTCTAGTATATCAGACAAGTTGAAAATAGAGTAAAAACAAAATCTGTCTTAAGACGGCGTATATAATCAATGTACTGTGGCCTGAAAGTTTGGTTTTTATATATCAAAATTCGTATAATTCTGTCTAAATATACGAAAGTGATTACCAAGTCATTGACAACAACTTCAATTAAACCCCAAATGACAATCCATTTCCAGTAGGTGGCCATTTGATTCTCAACAATCACAAATATTTGTTATACGATGTCGGTCAGATGTTGATGTACATGTATATATAATGTTTTTTGTTGACGTTTTTGGGCTTCCGTGTCCTTGAAGTAGATATTTCTGGAAGGGACGCAATAAGATGTGCATATCATGTATTTACAATATTTTCCTTATAAACACCACAATATATTATTAATATCACGTGTGGTCGAGATGAGGACGTTAAATCGGATGCAGCGTGCAAGGATGGTTTCCAGAACCCTAGCAACATTTCTGTGAGGGGTTTGTAGGTGGTCCTTTTGCAAGTTCCTGTACCATCTAAGATACATTGTTTGTCAAATGCCAGTTCAAAATTCACGCTTTTCATGTATAATTGCTTGTCTTAAATATGTGTGAAATAATTTCCACTTGACGTTAGACAAACAACAAATTGACCCTTCCTCTAATACAATGCTCAATTTGCGGACATAAAAGAATATACCTTTATCAGTGTTATAAATGATCATTATTAATTGGACATATCTTTTTTTTTCTTTTTCCGGTAAATATTCATGCCTTGGATATTAACATGCACGTGTAAAGTTTTATTTCTTCATCGCCAATATTATTCCAATTATAATTTTGACCACATTTCTTGAAAATTTCCAAAATGTAAACTAAAAATTAAATTAAAATTCCTTCTTCATATTTATCAAATTTTCTTTGTTTACAATCTATGTATTTTATCTCATTTTTACTGCTGATATTTTTGTTGTTCAAAATGTATATAGTATTATATTTGCCTTCGGGTCTATATGATCCGTTCATCCTATTACGACTCTTCAAAATTCAAGAGTCTATCCTAAATTGAGGTAAATCATATTGCCTTCCAAATACCGTTTCGATTCCTAACATCACTGAAGAGACATTAATTGTCGAAATCCGGATATGGTGTATTAATGTTTGCACCTTTTGTTTGCGGTATACCATCTTTTCCGCAAGTTTATTGTTTTCTGTTTGGTATTGAATTAATAGTTAAGATCCATTTTGTAACATCTGGTGATCCGTTTATTTGGCAATCGCCAATGGCAGTCAGCAGGGTTTGAGAACATCCGTTGTTCGGCCTGCTATTCAAATGCGTTTTGTTAAAATACACTTTTTCACTTTTTTGGTCTTTTGGAAAATGTTGTTTGTGCTGTTTTTTGACCCCTCTAACAAGAAATTTGTTTTGCATGCACACGTATAAAAATTGCGGTTTTTATCCAACGCAATCATAGGTTTGAACGTTGTTTTCAATTTAGACTTGTTTATATGAATATATTGATATACCTATAGTGTTTGTGAAGAAAGCAACAACCTTTTTGTAACAAAGGGTTATAAAAAATATCAAAGCTACAAATTCAATGATTTCCTATTATCAACATAAATACGATGTATATTCAATGAGCACTGTCCCACTTATATCTCACCTTTTCATGGTTTGCACACCTTCCTTTTTTCACTAGACATATAGAAAATAATGATGGCTATGATCACAGGTACTATAAAACAATTCTATTTGAAAGTTTTCAATACTTACAGAAATTGTCGAAAGCCCAAGATCCCCAGATTTTTGTCGTTTAGCCATTGTTATTTTCACGTAAGTATCAGAGACACAACAATGTGTAAAAGTACGAGATTTTACGTACGTCACAAGATCCGCTTCAATAAATAATTCAAACTTACAGGTATCTTACATTTCGTTACAGGTGTTTCACAGATAACGGTTTTAATATGTGTCGATGTTGTGTTCAGAAATGAGATTTTGAAGACCTCCAGACTCATGATATTTTTAAGAGAAAATAGCAACCATCCAATCGAACGCGCTTTTAAATTCAAACTATAAAAAATCTGCGGCAACATTTTAATCTGGTTAAACTTTCAAAATTTAAAAGCTGCCAAACAATGTTTACCATGCATTAATATTTTTTTAAATCAGTGGAACACGTTTTTAATGATTTTTTTGGTGGTAAATATTAAAAGCAAGAACATAATCATTGAAATTCAAATAACGCAGTTTAACAAATAACCATCTTAGTGAATATTAACGCTATTAAGAGTAAATAATTAATATCTATAGTTATATTCAATGAAGTTGGCTAAAATACTCAAGGAAATTATGTATGTTTTCAGTATCCGTCAGTAATAAAGAAGATTATTTAAAGTTGTTGAGAGACACATTCAACAATATTTGCCTGGAAGATGTCTGGGTGTGAATACCGCAGTCAATAATGTTTATAATACATTTTCTAAGCTTCAATGCTAGGCAGGGTATTCAACCAAACAGTCCATTTATCCATCATTAAATGATAATGGACATTGAATAGCATCTAGACAGATATCTAGATCGTCAAATTGTCTGCGAGCAGTCTTCCATACTATAGGCAACTTAGATACTATTTTACCAAATTGTGCTTAGTGAGATACCAGCTTCCGAACTAATGAAATTAAATAATTACTAAAGCTTCTTTTTTCGTACGTATCCTCTCACAACATTTCAAAAAGTATCAGTAACTAGCTGCTGACTGATATGTGGAAAATAGCAAATGTCATACCTGTATATATAATTCTCGGTACATCTTTTCTGAACTATTGGTACGTTCTCAACTATGCCAGCAAACTTGATAAAAAATAGCGAAGACTATAAATAACGTATAATTGTTACAAGCTTAATCTTTTGATAAGTATTTATCTCTGTTAACATATTTAACTAACATGAACAGACATAAATTTTATCGTTTTATTTGAACTAACAGACAAGAGATCTATTTTGTTTTTAATTTTCGTGACAAAGAGAGTTCTGAACGTTGTGCCCGAAAGCTCTTAAAGTGGTAGATAATAGGTAAATTTCCTAAAATTGTTTCATGTAGGAATATCAGGAACACTTTGAAGAAGTATGAAAAGAACTAAAGGTTGTCAGTGTAAATATTTTTTCCAGATTTGGTATATGTATCAAAGAGTAACATTTCTAAATCAGTTTGACAAGATTTAAATGCATTTTTATTATGATAAATGTTGAAAGCAAGAAAATATGGATACAATTGTGTACCTATATTTCAAATTACACAGTTAACCAAATACTTCTTATGATTGATATAAATCACACTTAAAGCAAAGGTAGTTACACTCGAGCACCTACGTGTACTTAAGTAAACGAAAGTATTTGATAAAAATCTGAAATATGTCTCTTCAATCTATCAGCTTAATTTTGAACCTTGAATTGAAATGTTGAAAATTACTCTAAGATGTTTTGTTAAATTTATATTAATGGTGGATAAACAAAGTCTGTCTGACTCTAGCATTAGTAATGTTGGTTTGTAGTCTGTAGAAGGATATATTAATCAAATAAATTTTGCATTTATGGAAAGCTGTGTCGTGCAAAACCAACAACAATACATAAACAGATTTTCAACTTTCGTATGGGACAAATATTAGGCGGTGAGTCCAGTCAAATATCATTGACTTATGATTATATTAAAATTTTAATGATGTATTTGTTGAAAATTTTTTGACTGAAATTTTCTTTCCAGTCAAACTACTGTGGAGCAAAATTGTGAAACAGACTATAGACATATACGAGGAAAACAAATGGAAACACACAGTTGAACGTCGACCAGAACTTAAGCGGTACGCTAAAATAATACATATCTAAGGATGGTCGCTACTCTTGTTTTCGACTCTTTGTAAGTTATTTGGAAACCACTAGTTTTATCCATGAAGTGCCATGCAAAATTTTGTCCGCTAACACCTTCTTTTCTTTTCATAATTTTATGACATATAGTTTAAAAAGCCGTGTTTGAAAATCTTTTAAAGTCCTTGTTATTTTTCATAGTTTTTGAAAGAAAAAAGAACCAATGTTAAATATATCAAAATTTCTAGAGAGAATCATTTCACGCCAAATTTTCAATTGCATATTTTCAACAACAAAAAAAAAAGAACGCTGACCTTTCATTTTTTTCCTTCTTTTTAAGTTCTGTTATTTATATACTATTAATTTATAAAATTCTTTTAAAAAGCTTGTTATTTTGAAACAGAGGAACGAACTAATGTTTTTATTGTATAAATATTGGTGACGAAAAGACAGTTTTTAAATATATTGATTGGTGTTATATTTATAGATGTTGTTTACAGAATATGTAAATATGTTTGTGTAATGTTTGTGATATTGTTCATATAATATAAATTGTAAAATCTTCATATATATGGAGGAAATAAAGATAATCAATCAGTCAATTAACTGAGAATAACAAATACACAAAACGTCAAGGTTTATTAAAGAAAATCAATGCCTGTGTATTTTCTAGGACCTTTAAAGGAATATTATACCATTGCTAGCAATATAGTATTTATTAATACAAAACAAAAACATGCAAATGGAAACTCCCCTTTTAGTAGATTATTTTATAAACGCGTAGTACAGAGTAAAAATAAGATTTAACCCCTTCTTTTTGCCATTGTTCACGACCCTTTGTTCTTTTCATTTCTTTCTGGATCCCTTACTGATTAAGCTTACTTAATACCGGTATATGTTTATTTTTTCTTCGGTTAAACAATTTATTTAGATTATTGCAACTGTTGTATAACGTCTGTATGAAATTAATGAATTCATCATTTGAGAATGGTAAGATTAAGAAAGAAGATGAGGCCATGTGATCGTATGCTCTGTTTGACTATATTGTTATGGAATATTTTGATTCCCAATTCTAAAACATTGTTACTTACTGATTCACACCAACAACATATTTTAGAATTTGAGGCAACACAAAGTTCATGGTAACATATTAAGTTCAATGATTTTGAATTAAACCATTCGTAATAACCAATTAATTAATGATAGGTTTTAAATTGGCTCTCCTTATTTGATAACTTACACTGCGTTCTGAGCGTTCAATGTTAATGAACACCAACTATATTCTGCTGAATGGGCATCATTAAGTACAAAAACCTTCTACGACAGAAAATATATTAAATGATCAAATTTATTGGTTGCATTATGATCTGGTATATTTGATTTTTATTATAAAATATGAATTTGGTACGACTATGCAGGAATACAAAATATTTTCAGTCTTTTCGCTATACATCAAATTGTGTTTAGAATTAGTATCGCATGATAAATCGGTTTTTGTGCCATTGTGTCTTTTTTCTTTAATAATACAGCGGTAAAAAAAATGTAAGCCTATATTAAAATAGAAACAAAAATCAATTTGACGTTCAATCTATTGAAACTTAGGAAACTAGGGGAAAATGAACACAGCTTTTTTTAACGTTTCAAATATCTAGAGTAGTAAGTATGATTTATAATGCTTTGATTGTAACAGGATAAGTCGAACCATTGAGATATTTAATAAAAATAAGAAAATACCAAAGACAATTAAAACTATTTTTTATGAAGGATAGACAGCACCATGATCAAATGAAAGGAGACGAAAATAAAATCTACAGTCTACAAATATTACACTAAATATTAAAGATTTTACAACTCTAATCCAGCTGAAAAACTCAAGAGGAGCTCGATTGATGTCATAGATAAGAGACACACGTTAAAAACTTAAAACCTCGTTAGTCCCATTTTGAATATAAAAACAAAGAGAACAAACCTTAGGAAATATCCTGTAATCGTCCTAGCACATGTGTCGACAGGGAAAGGGTTTCCTGATATATTGTAAACATGTATCATCCAACATTCCAATACAGATTGGAAGATTTAGCGAATGGTATATGACCAGTCAGTAAATCATCAGATCAGATGACTATTCTTGTGTCTTGAGACGTGGAAGGCAAGGACAAGCGGAATATAGTCATCTATGACACATATATAAAAGTCTATAACGGTCAACCAAGTCTATACTGGCATCTGTAGAGCTATTGAAAAGAATGACTTCAACCAATAAGAATAATTAGTTCAAAAGCTTCATCATGAGCATAAACATTTAGTAATGAATCCTTATAGGGCATAAGGCTTAGCTCTGGAACATTTTGTCAACTTAGAGGTAAAGATAATAAAATGATATATGTGCTGTTGGAATATTATGCTACATAATAATGGAAAATACAAAATAGGAAAGTTATGGTAATCTCTTTTTGCGAAAAAAATTCAGCCTAAACTGGAATGCGTTTAATCGATGTTAAGGTGTATTTCAAGGTATGACGTACACTTTGCTCTTTATCTGTTGTGTCATTTATTGAAGTCAAGTGACATATATACGATTCAGATGGTCCTTATACTTTGCAGCTAAAGACACCCTCTTTATACCTGAAGTGGAAACAAAAAGATAATGCAATAATTTAATTATATCTTAATGTTTAGAATGAGGAATACACGTGCGAAGAATAGATGAAGAACATGTGTTGATACCTTAGAATTGTGACGAGGTTTGATTTTATATCCTCTAACAGTCTTGAAATGTTTTAGAATCCACCTCTGATTACACGCCCAATAGAGCATGTAGTCTACATGTTTATCAACACACAGTTGTTATTCCCTTTCTTTTCGACTGCAATTTGTCCGTATGAAAGATACTACATACAAGATTTGCTCAAAAAGAATACAAGGTGTATTTGATGGATTTTTTCTGCATAAAAATCTTCACAGATAGATGATTACGGATATGCTCCAATTGTCGTAACCACAGTTACGTCCTCTTTTTTTCTGACAAAACATTAC